ATGTATGAGTCTTCAGAGTGTGAAACTCACAAAATAGTGAACAGAACAAGAATATTTCTGAAAAGGAGGACGAGTCAGGAGGGAGGGCAAGTGGAGCGAAAGCGGCAAACTTACCAGCTAGCGCTAGAACTGCGATCCTAAATGTCCAATTCGGTTCGGAGTAGTCGAGTTCAGCCACTACACCTGCTAGCACTCGAGCAGCAAACAGGCAGAAGATGAACTGAATAGAATAGCTCGATCAAATCACTTACGAGCATGATAGAGAGGTAATTTCGCTCGGGCATTTTCCATTATATTGGACCGTCTAAGTACAGTCTTGTTCGCTGCGGATGATGGGGTGTGTCAGGGAGGGGGCGGGGTTGGCTTGGCTCGACGCCAGCCCACTTTTTTCTTTCGGCAAGCGATAAGACTGTGTCATATCATTGGTCTCAATCCACCTTACCCTTTCAACAACTAGAGGAGAACGGGCTGCCGCTGCGGATGAAGGGCCTAAACCCCGCCACACTGACGGGCCCCTTCATCCGCAGCGGATAGGGCTGTAACGCTCGGCATTCTCCCTCCTAAGCGCAAAAGTAGAAGAATTGAAGGAAAGAGCGGCAGATCAGGAAAAAAGTAAGCCGAAGAGAGAGAGAGAAGCTGAACGCTTTCGAGCCATGTCTTCAATTTTCACTCGCGTGTGTTAAGGCATTTATGCAGAGTCCAGACGAGGATATCCCTTGGCCAGAGTACTCAAATCACCTGTAATGTTGCTCTTTCAGTCGATGCTAGGCGGAGATAAGCTCGAAGGAGCATTTGAACGATTGAAAGACTTTCTGATGGGAATTGCCCCCGTTAAAGCAGAATTCCTTCAAAAAAGAGGGCACTCCGCTACAGTCCACTTAGCCCTTTCACCAATGACGTTGGCGACAACCGTCCGCCCCTAGCAACCGTGCCTAGTACTTTTAAGTCTTCTATGGTACACCCAGTTTTACATCCCTTCAAGATTATTAGCTATTGGATATCAAAGAATTGGACAGAATTCGACCCAATGGACAGAATGGTCACAAAGTGCAATGTATTCGCGATGCGACCTGTGTCGTTATACCAGAAAAATGTGTCCGCTCGGGCTCCTTCGTCATTATAGATCGCTCAGACCAAGGTGGAACAGAAGGAGATTGAGCGCGAGACTTGAAAAAGGCACCTTTTTGAAAGCAGTGGAAAACTTTCCGGCGATGGCACCGCTTTCTAAGTTCAACTACTTCCACCCGAATCGTGGAGAATTTTGGAAACGATACGATACAATAGCTGAAGAGTAGATTATTAGAACATCTGTACTCTGTACTCTTACGTGACTAGACTAAGCTACCCTGTACGCTTATTGGGTCGGCTGATGGACCCAGTAATGGACCCAGAGGGCGCATGCGATGCTTTGAAAACTTTCCATTAGAAGCGGCTTCGAGAGATACCGTTAAAAGGAGCAGCTACATTCAAGGTTTGATCCTATCTGTGTTGACCCATCGAAAAAACCCATCTCTGGGTTATGCTGAAGAGGGAAGATATCCACAGAACAAACCGAATCTCTTTTGAAGAGCTGTAGATTGAATGAGAATCAAAAGCATTCCTTCACCGAATAAAAAATGAGAAAGATACTCTGTAGTACAAAAGTTGGTCATTATCAGGCGACCACCACAAAAGCGATTCAGATAGCGCTGATTTGAAAATCGGTTATGGCCCGATATGCGATTACTGCTATGGAAACCGAAGGGATTAGGTAACATAATTGCTCGTATCGATGGGTTCATTGGTTATTCAATGAGTTGGTACTTACCAGTAGGCACAGATGTGGAAGAAGAAGGAAGTTCTTGTTATTGGATAGACCAATCATTGAAGTAACGGTGGCCAGAATCATCGCAAAGCTCATACAAGAGAACGCCCACCATTCGATGCTGCAATAAAAATTCAGTTAAAAAATGTTCGGAAAGAAGGGGAACAGAAAACGGGCACTATTCTATTCTACAACACTTTCGGCTCCAAGATTCCCTAGGACTTTTCTTTTGCCAAGTATTCGTCCATAGAATACCCCGATCATTGAAGGCAGTTGGCACGATAAATCTCCAAGGCGTAGGGTTAATACGCCTGGCGGGACGGAATTCCGCGCCCATAGCAAGCGCTGCGTAGCACCTTTTCGGCGCTGTTCGGCGGCAGGGGAGGGGCATTTTGCACTTTGCTACTTCCCATCGACGTGTCGACCCATCTAGACAGCCTCTTCTCGAGTTGACAGGTTTTACCATGATGGCTTGACGAGCTTGCTCCAGCTTCACAAGAGTTCACAGGTTTCACCAGAGTGAGACTTGTAAACCGGAACTAGTGAAGCAACGAAAGTGCAAAATGCCTGCTCGTCGCCGAACTGCGCCCACCTTTTCCGAGGAAGGTACACTTATAAGGCCCTATCAAGCTGCACCATAACGACGCCTACCGCGCCGGCCCGCCCACAAATGCGACCGCACCTGATGCTCGTATTGCTTCATTTGCTAAGTAAAATATGAAGCGAAGGGATTGATATGAAGCGGCCGCGGTGCTGCATGGATATATGAGTACACATGCAGCCGTACCTACCGTAGCTGTTATTGGCAAGATGCCTACGGAAACGGGCAACTCGTCCGAAATCGCCCTCTGAGTCGGGTAGCACTGAGGTTTTTTGTAGATTTCTGACCGTTTAACTTTACTTTTTCGTCATTTTCCCCCTCTGTAGAGCACCCCTACTACCATTTTGGACCGAGTACTAAATTATCGCACAATATGCCTTTAACATAGCATCCGCTCTTGATGAAGGTGCCACATAATGCTATTAGGTGCTACATTTCCACTGATTTCGATTTGAACTTGTAAATTTGGGACAGTCGTGAGTTCGGATAACCAATAGGAATAAACCGAATCTGCCCTCTATTCGCCGCGTACACCTCCCCGTCCCTCCTCTTCCCGCACCGTTCTGGGCCAAAATGATCGCCATATCCGCAGTCAGGACGTCGAACGATTTCTTCCCAATGAGAGACAGAAGCAAACGATTCACAGGCCATCAGATTACTCATGGTAAGAGCTGCCCAATTATTGCTTCTCCAGGTCGCGTTTACAATTTTTCAGTAGTTATGGAAAGCGAACTTGCCATTAACCCCTCGCTTGAGTCAGAGCTGGTGTGGTGACCCGCGTGATGCTGGGTTCAAGTCGAGGATCGACTACCGCCTACGCCAGCCAAGCCTTCCATCCTCCAGAGTCGTGCAGTTGGTCTAAGGGCTCGTGCTGGAGGGAACTGGCTGACTTGTCTATCTATCCTTTTTATTGTACGCTCAGAGGAGCTACCTATTCCTCGGATGTGGAACAAACGTCCCCAGACCTCACTCCCATTTGACCTGCTGGTAAAGTCGAGACTCCCCATTTTGTTTTTGACGGAGTTTGACTTGAGCCGTTTTATGGCTGACAATGTAGAAGTTCGAATGTGACGTCTTTTGTCTCAAAAGACAAGCTGTTGTGAAAACAACAATGGACAGCTGTCAGTGAAAGTGCGTTTCAGAAAATGAGTCCTGAATGATTCGAGCTCGTAGAACGCTGCCTGAAACTTGACAGCATCGCTTCAGAATACTCTTGAAGAATTCCATTAATATAATTTCTTTCAAAACAAAAGCTATGTGCCAAAGTTCAAACGCTCATTGCAACGAATGCAACGCTCTTCTTCGAATGGGGCAGATTCACAGGAGAAAAGTTCAGACGGTTAAGAACAAAAAAAGTGATAGCACGTGCTCTTCGAGAAAGGCCATCTTCGTGGCTGCGCTGTGCAGCGCGTTCCTTGAAATCTTGTCGTGCAGACAGCAGTAGGAATGTATTATTTTCAAATTTTCTTCTAACATTGAAGCGTTTCTTTGCGTAAGCGCACGGCTACAGCTAAGAAACGTTGCTACCTTCAATAGTGTACATAAATAAAAGAAAGCGGACGCTATCGGGAGTTGCACGCAGGCATGCCATTGGCGTTGTGATCATATTTCCTGGAAAAATAGCGCGCCCGCTAATTCTATCCTCAAATACGACCCTCCCCCCCTTTCCCCTGCTGACCTAACCCACTTCCTAGATGTTCCGACACTTCTTTACCTACACTTTTCAATTTTTTTCGCGAAAATTCCAATTTTTCAGGGCAAGAATCTCGTCGAGGCGAGGGTTGATGGGGGGGAGGGTATAACACACGCTGTGAAACAGGAAAATTTCTCTGATTCCTTTTTTTTTTTTTTTTTTTTTTTTTTTTTTTTTTTTTTTTTTTTTTTTTTTTTTTTTTTTTTTTTTTTTTTTTTTTTTTTTTTTTTTTTTTTTTTTTTTTTTTTTTTTTTTTTTTTTTTTTTTTTTTTTTTTTTTTTTTTTTTTTTTTTTTTTTTTTTTTTTTTTTTTTTTTT